GGAATCTAATAAGAGTCACTATTCATAATGTATGCCTAAAGTGTGTCCGGATGCCTCATAGTAATTTCTATTGATTTTTCTATTGATATAGAATTATTTTCTATTGATTTTGAGTTAATAACAGGGCCCAAACATGTTTTTGTAGATTAAACCTGTAACAAAAAAGCAGTGTTTGGAAACAATAAAACAAATGACAGTATTTGATCTGTAATGTTGCAGCCAAATTTGGAGGGCTACGAAATCCATGAAGTTGCGTTAAAAAAGAAGGAAGGCCAGAGCCTCGGGATCTCCATAATCGGACACAACGCTTTGACCGCTAAGGGTAAGAAACATATTTTGCCTTGTTTTCCCAGAAATCCAGCGACTAATCAGTATGCGGTTAATTATTATTTCCTCGCATCTCTCGTCTCTGTTGCATGTCAGATGCAGTGGGGGTCTTCGTGAAGAACGTGGTTCCAGGCAGCGCCGCTGAGCAGAGCGGGAAAATCCATGTCCACGACAGGATAATAGCAGTGGGTTCTTAATCACTTTTTAATGAGCTCTACCTTAATTAGCCCCATGTCCGTACGAGCACTCTGACAGAACAGAACGCCAACTAAGCAAGACGTCTCTTTCATGTCACGTTGATTCACAGTTTAATAAGAACGGGTTTGAGTGTGGACGCGGTCAGCTGTCACGCTCTCCCCAGCCTCACGCTATAGGCTAATCAGTCCCACTGAGGCGACTTGGAGAGCCGGTTAGCCAGGCCTGAAGTGACTTCTTGATTGTCTTTGTGTCTGTGTGAACAGTTGGATGGCGTGAACCTCCAGGGATTCACCAACCAGGAAGTCCTGGAAGTAATGAAGCGGACAGGCGATATCGTACACCTTACCCTCATTAGGAAGATCAACTCACCCAAAAGGACAGTCGTAGAAAAATCACTAGATAAAGGTAAAGTGACGTGTTGTATTAGGATCAGATCTGTACCTACAGAGCTGTCATTCAATTAAAAAACATTTTAAAATAAAAATAAAGATGTTAACATTTTATCAAATATAATAATAATAATAATAATAAATATATATTTTCATTTGAACGTATTCTGTAAATTAAGAAAATAAATAACGTGAAATTATTGGACTGTTAAACTGCATCAAAACAAGAAATTCAAAGACAAATATTTATTATATTTATATTTAATATTAAATACTAACATTTCATTTTGATGTGTTCCATAAACGTTTAAGAAAATAAATAATGTGAAATTAAACTGCATCAAAACAGGAAATTCAAACACAGAAAGCAATGCAGATCTGCATAGATTAAAAAATAATAAAACTTTCCCTACGTTTTATGGATGTAAGTTGTTTTTGGCACTGCCCTGTTGGGAAATATAAAGACTTTACTTTTGTTAATTTTCAAAATAAGATATAATGTATATATAAAGTAAAATAAAGAAATAAATATTAAGATCTGTAAATCACTAAATACAGTGTTGACTTTAGGGTTGACAATCGATGTAAAAATTGTACAAATAAAAATTTATATTACATTTTATTTAATCGATATGAGATACTTTGAAAGTTAGAAGTTAATGTAGTTATCGCATTTTGTTCCCTTTTTAAGTTAAAGGAAATGTGTGTGTATATACACGTGTATATAGGATAACCACAGGCTTTCAGCGAGTGTCTGTATAATGATTATATGGCTGCTCGTTTCATGCACAGGATATAGGAAAAATCTGCCTGTGGTGGTCAAGACAGACATGCTGTTGACATGTCAGAGTGTTTGAATTTCAAGTCTATTTTGTTGTAGCCTTTATTGCTGTAAAAATACAAGTTTGAGGCCTACCTGATATGGTATTAGGTTTCGCTGTGTCAAATCGCTGTGTTTTATGATCCTCAATAGTCTTGGTATTTACATCTTTATAAATTATTGTTTTTGTCTGGTTACAAATATATGTTGATTCAGAATTAAGTGTGTATATTTATATACTGGTGTGTTGATATAGTCCAGAGAGAGTCGTCGCGTGTGTCTCTGAAGAGATCGTCTGAGATCAAGCCGCGGGCGGATGTTCAGAGGGGCTCTGTGGTGGAGTCTATGGACCCTGCTCTGTGTGGGATCAAACAACAGCTGCAGGGAAAAAGTGAGTTCATACAACACACAAACACGTCTGTTCGCTCACATACAGGTGCTCAACAATGTGGCTGATACCACAGACTTCACACAGACCAGCCTCAGTTGTTCTGCTCCTATAAAAACGTCCTTCTCTTTGTTTTGATTGGCTTTTTACTGATATTTTGAGCCCGGGTGCTATATTTTTCACACTAAGGACATTGAAGGGAAAATTACCCCATGATTTACTGATCCTAAAGCCACCCTAGGTGTATATGACTTTCTTCTTTCAGATGAATACAGTCTGATTTATATAAAAAAAAATGTTCTGGCTCTTCCAAGCTTTATAATGGCAATGAATAGTGGTCGAGATTTTGAAGCCCAAAAAAGTGCATCCATCCATCATAAAAAGTGCTCCACACGGCTCCGGGGGATTAATAAAGGGCTTCTGAAGTGAATCAATGCGTTTGTGTAAAAAAAATATCCATACTTAAAACTTTATATACTGTAATCTCGAGCTTTCACTAACTACCACTTACTGTCACTTCTGACCGGAGCTTACGCTATGCCTACGTCCTACATCATCCGGTCTTAAAAAGTCTTAATTTGCCCATCCACAAACTAAGACCTAAAAGGTCTTAAATTTATAAAGTCATAGCATTAAATGTTGTGTGCACTGCAAAAAAATGAATATCTTCCTCAGTATTTTTATCTTTTCCAAATATCTAAACTAGGGCTGTAGTTTTATCGCGTTAATTTTAATTAATTAGTTATGGGAAAATAACACAGTTAAAATATTTGAACGCAATTAATGCACCCGCCCTGCCCCAGACCTGTACATCATCTTACATTTCATACGGTTGACTGTTAACAAACATAATGCAGGGCAACAACTCACTACGTGATGTAGCCTATATAAAATGCAGTTATACGCACTTAAAATTTAAGAGATTGGGGCAAAAATGCACCTGTATGAGTTTTTGTCTCATATTTATATCATATGATAAGCAATATCTCACAAGTGTTGTTTTTGTCCCGAACAGCACAAGTGCAAATGTTATTTTATACAACAGTTCGGTAAATAAGTAGTTAATATTGTGTATAGACAGGCTACAATATTGTCAGTATTTGCCAGCAAAAATATTATCTCCAAGAAATGCAGCGGTGTTTCGTTTCTGAATGAATCCACGTTTTGAACAAACCGGGTGAACCAATGATTCAATGGCACATTCATAAAGAGGGCCATTTAATTAATTCCTAAGTTAATCAGTAGTTTGAATGAATGAATGACTCAATGACTTACTCATAAAGACATTTACCACCATCTACTGGCAGTTTTAGTTTCTTATTTAGAGTATCATTTCATTAAAACATAAAAATGAAAATAAAGTGATAGTTCACCCAAAAAGAAAAATTCTTTCATTATTTACTCACCCTCATGTCGTTTCAAACCTGTATCACTTACTTTCTTTTATGGAACATAAATGTTGGTAACCAGAAGAAAGAGATGAATGTTGGAAACCAAGCTGATTTGGCTACCAATGACTTTCAATGTATGAACAAAAAATACTGAGATGTTTCTCAAATTATCTTCTTTTATGTTCCATAGTTTATGTTAGGCCATTGTAGCCTAAATGTTTGTGAGTAATACATTTTATGTTGAATCAAATAAAATATTTCTTTCTAAAGCTACTTTTTTGTAATGTCTGCTTGATAATGTTCTCATTTAACACAACAATGGCTTTAAATGATCTTTTGGGGGTATTTTCAAAATTCCAAATTTAATTTGCGATTAATTAATCGCCACATAATGCAAATCAAACAAAATTAAATGAGTTTATGCTTAAAACTAGAACAATTATCTGTTGATGGGAATGAAAACTTATTTTCCCTTTGAATTAAGTTGAATTTTCATAGCCTGTTGGCAGATTTTTGTCCTATTTTTTAAAATAATAATTAAAAAAATCAGTAGTTTGTTGTTGTTTTTATGTGAAACGACTAGCCAGGGCAGCGTTTCTTCCTTCTGGACAAACTAATTGGCACAAAAAATTTCACAGAAGCTGAGCATACAGGCAAAAATTTTACTGCACACATACAGTACACACATACTACACTGATGGCTGAATTTATGTTACACACTGTACGCATACCCTATCATACGCATAAAACCGAAGTATACTTCGGGCTTAATACTGATGAATCCGATCCTTGGTGCTCCCCCTCTGGATGGAGGTCAGATTCAGGCCAGCTTCTACACCGAGCTTAGCAGGCATCGTTTCAGTCATGTTATCCGGCAGATATAAATATGGAGATAGGCTACCTGGAAGCGGAAGAGCGGGCATTGGCTGAAGCCGAAGCAGTCCAGAGCTCTGGTTACATTCTTCCCTAATTAATCCGGACAAGACCCGGTACCTGCCAAACTCCTAAATAAAGCGTTCTGTTGCTCTGAGCCAATACATGCCCAGGATAACAGTGATTGGTTGTCAGGGACTCATTTCCCAAAGCTGAAATCATAGCACGTGTAAAATGATAGCCGCCCTCGAGTCAAAACACACACAGCTTTAATCATGCTTTCACCTCCAACCTTTTTTCCCTGTGGTCTTAAGAAATTATATTGCCATGTGGGTGTGTAGATGTTTAAATATTTTCTTTATGGATAATGCGCGACTGTTTTGGTACATTGACGTGACATTTGATAAGAGTGAACTGAGAGGCTTCGCTAAATTTCACCCGTCGATTTTAAAGATAACTACCCTGGAAGTGCCATTATATGGTTTCTTTTGTGTCATGTAAAGTTGAAAGTCTCTGGAAACAGATGTGTTTCAGCCCTAATGTTAAAAAAATGTGGACAACACGGACTAGTTGCTGCCGGGTTTTCTGCGCTTTTTCCAAGTTCTGTCACACCAGCGGTTTCGACCCATTAAAATCATTGCGAAAGTTGACAGCGAGAGCGCTCAATCACAAAGAAGTGGTGACAATCGGTCCACGTTGGTATGATTATAGTCCGCAGTTGCTCCAGAAATGCCCACAGCAGTTAAAAACCACAGGAAGTACTATGTAAAAGCTCATTTACTCAACTTTTGTGGGTCTGTAGTAACTTCTCCCATGTGACGCCCTCTTTTAAATGTTGAGTGACGTTTGGATAGGGGGTGGACATTTGTTCTCAGTGTCAGCGGAGTTTTTCCTGATACATAAACATAACAAGCCATTTCCCCTGTTCTCCATATTTTCCATTGTGCCGCACCTGGGCTGCAGATGTTGGCTGGGGTTTGACGTCCCACATGTAGAAGCGATCCATTACTGTATTAATGTAACCAAACATTTGTGATGAATGGTGTTGTGAGTGAGGCGTTAGAAATGCTAATTTAATCAGGTCTGCATCCCTCGCTCTCACTCACTCACTGACTTTACTTTTTACCGTAACGTGATTTAGCATACCAGTCCACAACAGGGCCTGAAACTCTTGAAAAAGTTTTTTGTTTTTTTTCTGCTTTTTGTACAAGTGGTAAAAGAAGCTTGTTTTTCATTCATTTTATATGAGGTTTGCCATTTTTGTTTTTAATAAAATATACACTACTGTTCAAATGTTTGGGATGGGTACAATTATTATTATTTCATTATTTAATTTTTTAATTTTGAGAAAAAAAATCACTTTATTCAGCGAAGAAGCATGAAATTGATCAAAAGTGACAATAAAAATAAAAAATCCACAAAAATAAAAAATAAATGGCAAATAAAGCACAAAAATAATAATTAAATAGTAATAATAATAATAAATGTTTCTTGAGCAGCTAATCAACATATTAGAATGATTTCTGAAGGATCATGATGCTGAAAATCCATCTTTGTCATCACAGCACTACATTACATTTTAAGGTGGTATTCTGAAATTTGATGTTTTGTAACTAGGTACTATTCATGCTAGCTTATTTTTATCAACATATTTAATGTGTCTCTATTTTTTGTAGTAACGGGAGACCAAATTGTACCTTATTGCTGGCAAATGTCTGTTAAATGTACAGCTTAGGTTACAGAAAAACTTTGTTCTTTTCTTACCCAGAGCATATTTCTCTGAAACCCCCTACTACTCCCACCCCATATCATAGTTAAGGGTCACAAGCGCCCATAAATGCAGTTCCACCCATTTATTTGCCTCCATTGCCTTTTGGGCTTCCAGCCGATACTGTTCCCAGGCGTCCCGTTGTCTTTTTCTGCAGTATCACTGCTGACTCCTCTCTCAACTCTTGCCCTCGGCGCACTCTCGGCCCTCTGATTATATTCATCCGTCAGCCTGACATCAATCCCATGCTAGTATGCGGCACCTGACATTAATGTCATACGTTTCCACTCACTCTGTCACGGACAGTGGGCACCCAAATGGCGGTAATTGACTTTAAACGCTGCTCTCATTATTGTGTGTGTGTTGTAGTGCAAGAGCCGGCCCCGCTGACGGAGATGGAGCTTCGCGCTAAATGGGAACAGGCTCTTGGTCCACATTACGATGTTATGGTAAGTAAAAATGTAGGGGAAGTAATGTTAACAGATGCTAAGTGCGGCTTTCAATTAAACATGAAGCAAACTGCACATCAGCAAAAACCGCCGGCACTTACGCATGCTGTGATAAGAGATGTTCGATCGACCAGCTAAATCTGGCTGTAGATTGCCTCAGTTGACTCCTGTTGGATTTGAGGTCATGTGCTGACACACTGTTGTTTGGTTTTATTTACCATAAAGGGAGTGTGTTGACCGCATTCAGGTTTTTTTTTTTTTAGGTTTTATTTATTTACAATTCATTTAGTTTTTTTTGTTTTTTTATTCACACATTATTTTATTTGCATTTTATTTTATTTTTACAGGTTGTACAGCTTGACCCTGTCATAGATGATGATATTGAGCTGCAGAAGTACTCCAAGGTAACGTGGGAACAGCACGATTCATGATTCATTCACGTTCATTCATCTATATAGTAGTGCAGGGCAATCTATCAAATATTCATGATATATAGCAGACATGGTAGCGAGTTGGACACGTGTAATTCTTCTTTGTCTCACGACTTGCAAGTATGACAGCGTTAAGATATCAAGATGGTTTTTAGCTCCTCACAAGTTAATACGTTTTAATTAATTTCTGTGAATCAATTTGTTACAATGAATCGATTCAAAACCCTGAACAATTTGTTTGAATTATCACACAAAAAGGTCTATTGAAGTCCCCACCAAGCTTTTAATATATTCAAATGTTTTAGTAAAATATATTGTAATATTGGTGCACATAAAGAAAAATAAATCATCCTTGTGTTCATTTAGTGAAAAACCATGTGGAATTTTGATTTTACTGTGTTTTAGCACTTGCAAGAAACCCTTCTTGAGAAAACACTTAAATATCAAGATACATATTAAATCTCACCCAGCCATGCTCAGTAGTGATCACAATGAGTGAGTCAAACCATAAAAATTATGTTTCTACAGCTTCTCCCAATACACATAATGCGCTTGGGCGTGGAACTAGACTCTTTTGATGGACACCACTACATTTCCACAGTGGCTCCTGAGGGTCCGGTGGCAAAACATGGGCTGCTTCGACCAGAGGATGAACTTCTGGAGGTAAAGTCATTTTAAAGTGCTTTAAACCACATCTACACTGCCAACGTGTGTCTTCCCTGCTCCCTCACTCTTTGGCATTATGGTTACGTGGGCTCCCAGGGTTTGGCCAGCCTACAGCTTTGCTCTTGGCTTGCTTTGGTGAGCCTCTTCTCTGATGCTTTAATAACACTGACCTTTGCATCCTGCCAGCACCAAGCCTCCAGGAAGGCTTGCTGCTGCTGCTGCTGCTGCTGGCCCGTGGATGTTCTGGCAGGAGGGCTCCTGAGTCTGACCGAGGCCATCTGCATGACTGTCCCCTGCCCTAACCTCCCCACTGGCCTTGCTTCCTGCCCCCTTCCCTCCAAACTTCCCCCTCCCACCTGGTCTGGTGGCCAAGGGCCGCTGTGCCTTCAGCCTGTTGCTGTTGGCAGGAGCCTGGATGGTTAAAGCGGGGGAGATTTGCAGGGCTGCAGGGGAAGTGGCTTATAGAGAGATGTGGTGTACTTCAAGGCTACGTCCTGGGGACAATGCATTTGTTGGAGTCTCGGAATAATTGTTAATGAAAATCCCATATTTCAGTGTAACCTTAACATCCTAATGTACTCCTCTTGGCCTTGCTAGATGCTTAGAAGTTCAGTGGGACAGCGATGGTGTGTACGTGTGTATATGTGTGTGTGTGTGTGTGTGTGTGTGTATAAGGGAAAGGATGTGTGGAGACTATGGCTTCCCCCTGGTTTGGGCAGATGGCACAGTGCCGCCCCCACTCGCCATAGCAGCTTCAGGCTTGCCCGCTCCATGAAATACCAATCAAAGATGGCCAGTGAGTGCCACCGAGACAGAGTGTAATATAGTCACCAACCTAATAAGCTCCCCATAGGATGTTAATATGATCTGTAACATCCTTGTCAAAGAAAAAAAGTTACACTTTATATGTGACCTTATTTTTGTACCCCTGTGTTTGATTGTGGAAACCATGCAGTGTTAGATTTTCTGTACGCTTGTGAGTAAAGTTTATCCCAATAAAATGTGTTGTATTTGCAGGTGAATGGCGTGCAGTTGTATGGGAAGTCCAGACGAGAGGCTGTTGCGTTCCTCAGAGAGGTTCCTCCTCCCTTTACTTTGGTTTGCTGCAGACGCCTAGCTGAAGAAGGCAGCGAATACCACCCTGAATCTGAAGAGTGGCACTCATCCAGCCCCTCAGCCAGCCTACAGGAGCAGGTAACGAATACATACACACAGAGATTGGCCAATTGGCCAATACTTCAAAACTAAACTGCAAAATAATGTATGCCTGCTCATTTTGTAATAATTTTACAGATTGAGAATAACCTCTCCATGTTTGCCAAAGATACAAGTCTACGTGAGAGCATGAGGGAAGAGTTTCAGGTTTGTCCGTATCCTCTAATTCAGGGCTCTCCAAACTCGGTCCTGGAGGGCCAGTGTCCTGCAGAGTTTAGCTCCAACCCTAATTAAACACACCTGAACCAACTAATTAAGGTCTTACTAGGCATACTAGAAACTTCCAGGCAGGTGTGTCAAGGTAAGTTGGAGCTAAACTCTGTAGGAGTAAATGTAATTAAAAAAATGTACAACAAAATACAATTCAAATAATTATTATCCATTAGACTGATTAAAATGTATTATATTTATCTCAGAAAGTTCAATTATAATATGAACAATTTGTAACATGATATAAACTTGTCTTGTAAAGTTATAGTTTGATTGAGCAATTGATTGATTAAGTGACCCCAACAGAACAGACCTGCAACCCATTTTGGGGTCACAACCCGCCAATTAAGAACCACTACTAGCTTGTCGTGATTTGTGCTTTTCTTTTCATGCCTGTCAGGCATCAGCAGTGGAGCAAGAGGTTAACGATAAAGAAGAGCCCCTAGAGCCAAGCAGCCCTGAGAGAGAGCAGATGGATGAGGAGAAGGATGATGAAGAAGAAGATGAAGGGGAACTAGCTCTGTGGTCTCCAAATGTGCAGGTGCTAGAACTAGAGAAAGGAGAGCGAGGTCTTGGCTTCAGCATACTAGACTACCAGGTGGGGAATTAACTCATTTCTGGTTGTTTTTTTTTTTTGGAGGGGGGTAACTCGAAATATATTTATCTTTGTCTCTGAGGAAAAACCATGAAAATGTCGATTTACATTTCAGGAAGTGTTTACAAGAAGTGTTGAGTGTTGTCATCTGCATGGAAGAATTGACACAGTCACCTTGCACCGTAAAACCAGCTAAAAATTAATAAATATATGCAGTAAAAACAAGACCAATCAAAATTCAGCATGCAAACAGATAAAAGGAAGAGGTCCAGTCACAAATAACTATACAAGTATTATGATGACGTCTTCATGGTCTGTTACATTCTAAAAATATTCCATTATTGTGAACATATATGTTAAGATTAGGTTTAAGTAATACCAGGAGTTTTATACATCTACAATTTAGAACAGATTAGGGCTGCAACAAATTATTATTTTGATAATCGATTAATCTAATGATTATTAGAACGATTGATCGACTAATCATGGATTATTTCACTGGTAAACAAATCGGTAAACTTTGATTATTCAGCTTTTGCAATAAGTTACAATACTGAGTTATACATATTCTAACAAATAAAGGTAATCATTTCAGCTTTTGAAAATCATATTATGTAATTCCAATTATTATACAATTCATTTATATAAATAAATATATTTGGCACACAAAATGAGATGACAGAAACTTTCATTCACCATTTATTTAGCTATATGAAAGTAACTGAATGACTTCATTCTGCCTAACATCTCCTTTTAAGTCATATGAATAAGAAACAAAATAAAGGTAAATGATGAGAAGTTTTATTTTTGGTTAAACTATTTTATTCACAACATAATCTCTCTTAAAATACCTTATAGGGTTATGATAATCAAAACAGTCCTGAGCTAGATCAAGCTTTGATCGCTACAAACCAAAATATCACTTTAATGAAATAATTTTTTTTTTTCCCCCACTAATAAAGTGATTGTATCATAAGCTAGCTCCACACTGGAGAGCTGCTTTATAACAGAAAATCAAGTTGTAATTCTAACTGAAAGCGACACTGACTTTTTCATGTTTAATACTGTAAAGCTGCTTGATTTAAGGCTATCTATTGCATAAAGTCAGCCTCAGGAGCGGCTGCGTTTGCTCTGAAGCGCTGTGTCTTCTTCTTTTGAATTGCATCCAGGAGGGCTGAATTACATTCTTGCACTACAGCACCACACTAGTCAAACTATATAGAGAGAGTACCACACTCGCATTATTGCAGGCTCTTACATTAGGTCATATGAGATCAAACGACTACTCGACAACAAAAATATTTGTCGACAATTTTTTATTGTCGATAATGTCGACTAATCGTTTCAGCCCTAGAACAGATCTTTATCAAAACATTTAAGGAATTATGTCGTCTTGCAAAAATTATAATAAAAAAATAGCAAATCAAACTTAAATTTGTTCAAAAACAGTAACATTGATCCATATTTACTGTAAAAAAAAAAAAAAAAAGGCAAGAATGCCATTCAAGATTTTCTATCAACTATCCTTTAAGTAGGGGAAAAAGGAGACCAGACTCAATTGTTCCCCTTGACTTTCCCAAAGTGTGATCACAGGAAACGTGCGTTGATGTCACAAGTCATTGGACACTGAACAAAAGAAAGCAGTGAAACCTTTCTGACTAGGGCCGCTGTTTATCTGGCCCTGTGCCAGCCGTCAAACCCTCTGCTCTGCTCACTTAGTACGAAAAGCTGCTTTCCTCCTTCCTTCATTAGCCCTCTAATCAGGGTTAGTACATAACTGCACGTTGATCCTGAATCAGAAGTGATCATGTAATGAGGCCACTTAGAATGCAGAACCTCTCCCGCAGAGCTGCACTCCGCTGGTCCTCTGGGACGCCTCGTGTTTTATATTATCCAGCCTTGGGTTCCAATTGATTTCATGCAGGGAAGCAGTATTGGCAGGAGAAAAGCATGCCTATGCTTTCGTAACTTCATCAGGACTGTAATAAATGGCCACTGCATCGTGGCGAAACTGAACAGAAATCATGTTTTAATGGTAAGTTATGCTTCTTTCCTCGTCAGAGGCTGCCGTTAGTGATGGGGGCCGCAGCTACATGGACAGAATTACATTTGCTGCTCAATGGCGGTAACCTGAGCAGTGATCCCTTAAATTCTTCCTTTCTCTTCATCTCTCTGATAAATGAAGGAATGAAGATGGAGCAGGGATGAGGAAACTCGGGAGAGAGTCTATAGGCTCTGTGCTATGATAAAAAAATACATTTTGCTGACTCAAAGTCCTTTGTTTTATTTTTTTTTCTTGCTATTATGAGATTGTATGAAGCTACGCAGGGATTTTTGTTTGTTTTTGCAGCATGAACAAGTACAAATGAATTGCATCAATTCTGCATCGACGCACTGAATTTGAGATCATCTCATCCCCACCAAGGCGAGCAGACAAGAAATTCGCAGTCCTGCAGCTTAGATCATAGATCATTGTCGTGAAGAGGCTGAAGCACTAAAGCTTACTTTGCAGATCTCACCAGCAGTTGCTGGTGCACCCTGGGGTTTATTGGAAGCCATATTGACCTGTGTAGCTTCCCCTCGGTCGAACTCACCGTCTTCGTGCTCTGCACCAGCTGAGCCCCCTCCACCTAGCCCCGTCTGTTTGCTTATCTACACCGAAACTAACGCTTTTCAACCTGAGGGCCTGATGCATGATGGGTGGGAATTGATTCAGAGGAGGAGGGGGTGCAGGCATTTCCAGAGTTGTGAAAGAAGTGTTAAAATGTCCATAAATGTATGAGCTGTAAGGAATTGCCAGAAAGACGAAAGTGAGCAACTCCCACAATGCAATGATGGGTACGGTCTTCTGTGCTCTTCTAATGGAGGAGGAATCTCTCAGCCTTTCTTCTTGACTTCTTTTCTGTTTCCCGTGGCAGACGGGCCAGGGCCTCTCCAGTCTGCAAGGGGAAAATTGATTTTGCCGCTCTCTCCAGTAAGAGGCCTGAGCTGATAAGGCCGAGTATAGGCAACCTCGAGACCTGCAGACACGCTCGAAGCCTTCCAGAACCTTCAATCTCCCCCTCTTTCTTACCGCCCTCCTTCTCTTCTTCTCGTCTCAACCACTAGTATTACCCCTAATGCAAGGAGACCTTGTAACTGCAGCTAGATTGATGGGAGCCCAAGCTCACACTGACAGCTGGAAACCAGGGAGTTTTTCTTCCCTAAATGACACCCTTGACTGCGTGAGTGACGTGAAGTGGCGACGGTGAAATCATTTGGAGTCACGCCTCAGTTTTTTTGCTCTGACAAGGAGATCTCGAAGTAAGAAGAGCTACATGCAACATGAGAAGGACCCCCTTGGTAGTACTAGCCATCCTGGTAATGGAGATTAATGAAGGTCTTCTTGAAGCCAAACAACTGATCTGAAGGGTCAGGCTGTGGTGGTTTTGTTTTAAGTGGGATTGTACTCTCATGGCCATTTAAAAGTCATTACTATGAGTTTTCGCTAACAATTGAAGTGTGTATGAAGTCACGGTGCAGCCAGGCTCATCTGAAATATGATTGAGCAGCTCTCCCGCGAAGGGTTTAGGGTAGATGTAAGCTGCCCAAAGGGAACGTGGCTTAGCGTAACTTTCTGTTTGGGTAGGATGTCGGCCCTACCCCAGAATTGTCTTCCTTCACAAAAATAATAAACTTGTAGAGTGAAATTATAGCATGAAGAACAGGAAGAATTTGAACTGCAACATGTTCTCCGAAGGTTCTTGCATTTACAGATGCCATTTTCCACGGAATCATATACATTTACATGAAAGGCCTTTTGCAGGTGGGCTGTAAACTTTCGGTGTGCAAAACAAATTTGTTTGAAACATCGGTAGTGAATGGATGGCTCCAATAATTCATGCTGTCCAAAGAGAAGAGATCTGAGAGAATGCATTTTTGAATCATTTCGATGGTTCAAAGCACCTAACCTGCACATCAATACAGCATTTAGTCTCATCCAGTGAATGTTTTAAAGGAGGGTCATAAATCATCCCAGAGTGTTATTATTTATTTATTGTTGTTTATTTATTCTGTGGCCTGAAGCTGCAGAAACTGACCAAGGGCTATTTTATTATTGTCACAGGAAAATAAGCTACCAAATCGACTATAGGACACCATCCTTAATGTTAATATGTTAAAGAAGGATATGCATTGCACTTTTCAGCCGTGAACAATTGTTCTAACATCGTGTTGTCATTTCGCAATGGTGTTCTTATGGTTCTTATGCCAAACAGCTGCCCACAGCTATAAGTTTTAAAATAAAAAACAGCTTATGCATTGTTCCTCCTCCTTGTGATTCCCAACTCTTTCACTTGTCTTGCGATAAGACTTGTCAACGCACTTGCCAATATTAGTGTCATAGCTAGTAGCAAGAAAGCGGCGAATAACTGTCAAAGCAAACAAAGTGGGTAACATTCTGCCATCCATTTATTTTACTTCTGAATGTCATGATATTTTTCGAAACTAGAATGGCAACATTTGGACAGATGTGGCGTAATGGTTAGTCAATGAACAGTTCTTAAGAACCATTTTTTTTTTCTTAATGTGAACTTTTAATGAACTAAAGGACCTTTATCCACTATCAAGAATCTTTGTGCAATGGAAAGTTTCCATGGATGTTAAATGTTCTTCATGGAACCATAGATGCCAATAAATAATCTTTATTTTTAAAGTGTAGTTTCAAGGAATTTATGTAATTGTACAACATGCTTGTCCGTGCCATGGAAGTGGTAGCCTGTGTTCTCTTCTCTAGGCAACTACAGTGAGAACAACCAAAAGACGAATTAAAAGAGAAAAGAAAGCAAAAGGCAGACGTTCTGGAGTTCCTGGTATTCTGTTCAGCAAGATTGAAGGTGAGGCAGAGCGCAGGAGCAAAACAGATGACTTGGCCTGCCGTTGATTCCTGCGAAACAGCAGATTTACTGTCCGCCTGACACCACGCTGAAGAATTTCAACCCGTTTGACAAGCAGGGTCAGCCAAGGGAATGCTTGGCACTCTGAGGAGACAGTAGCCAACCTTAGCCCAGCAAGAAATATGGGATATCCAATCCGGCCGCCAATGCTCATACCCATCCGTTAGCTAACCAACAGTTTCAACCACAACTTCTGTTTGGGCAGTTTCCCGTTGAGAATGGGCAACAAATTTCTATCTGAATACTTTAGATCAGTCATGGGCCCTGTGTCTCACCTGGTTGCCCGTTGATGGCATCATTGCCCAACAGCGTTGCTCAAAAAGTTGCCCCGTGTATCATCACCTTAGTGGTTGTGTGGAAACTGTAATGTGCACCACCCGCTAGGGACTTCTGGGATTGTCATTTTCTTTGGATCTAAAGATGTTCTTCACACCTGTAACATTGGAAGACAGCTGCTCCCCCAATGAGCCATGTACTATATGCCATCTAAATCATATGTGCACTCGGATGGAAATATGAATAAGAAATGGAGCAACCTAGCTCACTTTCTTTCCATCTCTCATGTGAACATCCTTACTGATCGGTGTCTTTATTCCGTAGCAGGTGACGTATTGTCGTATTAGAAGCCCCCTGTGCTGGCCTGTTCCCCTTGGCTTTTTTTCATAGCTGCTCTACTGACATCACTGGCCATGTGGGATGAGAGCAGGGCTTGGAAAGCAAAGCACGCTTGGCTGGAACCCGGCAGCCGGACAATACAGCCTGTGTCCTCCTAAAGCGCCAGCTGGAGTGGAACTTCAAATCCTCTCTCCAACTTTTTCCTGTCTTTTTTTTTCTTTCTTTCCCTTCTAGCAGGCCTCAGTTCCTCTCGCACTGAAATAGCTTTTCTCGTCTCGTCTGCTTACCGTGCAGCAGTGGCTCACTGGGTAATCGGGGCAGTAATTGCCGGGCTTGCTGACCCACTTTTTATGGTTGGGCTGGGTGAAGTTTCCTGGTCTGCTGTCCGCAGTTTCACTCAAGGCCTCTGCTGTTAAAAATCCTTGTCAGTAATATATTCCCTCCTTTTTTTGAGTGGTCATTGTGTTCTGAACCTTGACATGTCTTTTGTGGTCTTGTCCAAAAATCAACTGCAGATACTGTAATGACTCAAAAACAACATACTTATCATTTTTAACATTACAGAAGAAGAGATTCATGTCAGAAATCTCAAAAAATGCATGGATCGTCCGTTCATCAGGTCTTTTGACATGGTTGGTCGTAAATGTTCATGGGCAGATAGATGAGATTACTAATGACTGCTCTCCCGCTTCAGTTTTTACTCTCAAATAACTACTTGTTAATCACTTTTATATTGTCATTCGCCATATAAAAGACGCCCATATGGGTCATGAAATATATTGTTGGAGACATCAAATCGGTTGAATTGCAGTTTTATGGCAGAGCTCCCCAGAGATTTGATTAATACCATAGTGCTTGGGATGTTTGGAGTGGGAAGTTGGCCTCATTTGACCTTCCAAATCTTTTAGAAATATATATATATATACAGTATCTCACAGAAGTGAGTACACCCCTATCATTTTTGTAACTATTTTATTATATCTTTTCATGTGACAACACTGAAGAAATGACACTTTGCTACAATGTAAAGTAGTGAGTGTACAGCTTGTATAACAGTGTAAATTTGCTGTCCCCTCAAAATAATATATATATATATATATATATATATATATATACATACATACATACATACATACACATATATATATATATATATATATATATATATACACACACACATATATATATACATATATACATACATATATATATACATACATGTGTGTGTGTGTGTGTTTTTCTCTAAGTAGCGTTCAAAAGGTACTGCATAACAGGAATGACCCATCTGCTTGTTTGCAAATTTCTATTCTCTGCTTACACAGGTGGTTTTAATTAAATGTTTGTATTAAAATTTAAACATAAATAAATGAAACTTCAAAAGGCAGTCTTCTTGATCTGCTTTTTGATTTGACTGTGATGTATAGGTTAAATCAGGGTCACCATTGCTCTTCACTCTGCTCTCATGTTTTTTTTTTCCCCTCTATTTTTCTGTTTGTGTGTTTGCTGTGGTCTGCATTGCCCTCTGCAGGACCCTCTGGACATTGTGCGCTCTGTGATTGTCATCCGCTCTCTGGTGCCTGGAGGGGTGGCGGACATTCACGGCGGGCTCCTCCCGGGTGACCAGCTGGTTTTCGTCAATGACACTCATCTAGACACGTGCTCTCTGGCCCAGGCCGTAGAGGTCCTCAAATCTGCTCTGCCTGGGAGAGTCTACCTTGGGATCAGGAAACCAATGGTGGTAAGAGCCAATCTGTAATTATGGCCTCATACTGTTAACATTCAGTGCTGGAAGTGTTTATTTGGGTAAATATTTAAGATTGGTGGGTATTTCTTCAAAGTATTACTTTGACTGGCTTGTGGATCTTTATAGTGTTTAAAGTGTCTTTTTTTCACCACTGAGTGGTTTTATATCTCACAATATGACTATATCTTATTTTAAACTTTCTCTCACAATTTCCCATTTAAATTTTTTCCCCTAAAGCAGAGTTCCATGTAAATCAGATGTTTACAATGAATGTGAATTAGGTTACTGTAACACTGTTAGATAGGCATAATAAAAGCATGTTTGGCTTGTAGTTAAATGTTTTGCTCATCCTGCTATTGGCACAGTGTTATATATGATGTGTCCGTTTAGTCACTAAGTATATTTTGCATTGTTTTGTGTCTGTGAACTACACAGCCAGAGGACAAAGGTAGTGGGCAGCAGTCCTCTTGGCCTGTAGAGGGCGCTGATGAGCAAACAGCAGGAAAACAGGCCGGCACTCTCCCATCTATGCAAGAGGTATTCAGAATACTCCTTTGGTTCACTTTTTTTAAAGCAGTTAATACTTTTGTTTAGCATAAAATCGATCAAAAATGATAGTAGAGACATTACAAAAGACTTCGGTTTTAAATAAATGCTGTTATTTTGACATTTCTATTAATCAAAGAATCCTGAGAAAAATGTATCATGGTCTCCACAAAAATGTTACGTCGTAACTGTTTTCAGCATTGATAATAAGAAATGTTCCTTGAGCAGCAAATCAGCATATTAGAATGATTTCTGAAGGATCATGTGACACTGAAGACTGAATTAATGATGCTGAAAATTAGGCTTTGCATCACAGGAATAATTTACATTTTAAAATACATTATCATAGAAAACGGTTATTTAAAATTGTGATAATATTTCACAATATTACTGTTTTTACACTATTTTTAAGCAAATAAATGCAGCCTTGGTGAGTATAAGACACTTTTTTCTAAAAGTTACAAAACGTATGATTCCAAAACTTTTGAACCATACTGTATATTATGTGAATGTAAATATATATATATATATATATATATGTACACTACATAAATACTATAATTTTATATTCACATATACAGTATACCTTATAAAACATCCCACAGTCTTCAATACATATAAACTTTAATTTTTAAAAAATTCAGTAAACCGTTATTTTATATATATATATGGTACTGCAGGGAGTTTGCCAATTATAGACTGATCTATTTTGATTTTAAAATTATTTAAAATATCATTTACAAATACAATATTAACCTAACTTTAATTAGTTAGTAAGCTAAAGTTAGGCTAAATGTTTTGTTGTTGTCATGAGAAAAAGTTGAAGACCCCTGGTCCAACATCCGAAAACACACTTATGTCCATCAATATGTAGCAAAGAAACCCAACTACAGTCATTATTACAAAGAGAGCTGAAGCGAGAAAGAAAAAGAGCTTGAGCAAAAGGAGATGAGCGAGGAAAAAGAGGAACAAATGAGCGAGCCTCATGAGAGGGATCTTTTTGGAGCTGATGCATGACCCCCTCTATGGGCCTTTGAAATGTACCATATTATCCTTGAATTTTAGGAAAGATGTAATTGAGGCGGCCGAGTCAAGTGCTGCCGTAAATCTACTCAAAACGAGACTAATTGCGCCATTAAGATTTTAGACTCGGCACATTTTTCATGGCAAATTGGTTCTGCTCGCTGCAAGGGTGGGGGGGGCGAGTGAGAAAGGTGCTGAGTCGGCTTGTTAGAGCGTCGTGGGGGAAAGTGCGCTTTCAGCTCTTAGGATCTGTAAGTGTGTGGAAGAGGGAGAGGAGGACAAGCTCCGGCACCCTGTTGCAGGGATAGAAAGAGCTGCTTTGTATGGAGCAGACAGACAGGAGGTGAGATGTCTCTACCCTCTACGCCCACTCCAACATCAGACATTTCTGTTAGCGTATGATTTAGGGGGGAGGAATGTTAAAAAGGGGTATAAAGTAGCATAGGGTTTCGCTTTCAGGAGTTTCGGTATGGGGGAGAATCGACTCGAAAAATGAAACAAAGTTGTGCAGGTTTGGACTGAGTTTAATACAGCAGTTTTCTGGGTGCTTATGAAATAATTTTCGCTTGTATTTTGTAAATGTTGCCTTGTGGTTCAAGATTTAGGTTTGTTGCCCAAGTTCGTGGGTTCAAATCCCTCAAGAGTCGATTTCTAAACTACTATCAAAGTGTGATTAAAGGGATTTTTCACCCAAAAACGATCTCTTCAGAAAGTAATACATAGTCAGACAAGTTTGGACTGAGTTTAGTTAAACTCCTTGGACTAGTTTTCTAAGAATCAACTAAAGATTACATTTTTTGAGCACGAATTATATAAATATGAATATTTAACAGGTTTAGACTGAGTTTAACTCAGCTCTTGGGCCTTGTTTTGACTAAAGATTACATTTTTTTTAGCACTGTTTATATAAATATGAACTTTTTAGCTTGTATTTGGTTAATATAGCCTTGTGGTTACAAATTTTGAATTGGTCGCCAGAAGGTTGCAAGGTCAAATTCCACAAAAAAATGGTTTATGTACTATTATCAATGTGGAGTTAAAGAAATATGCAAAATTCTGGTCTTTTTCTGTTTTAATTCAGTCAAATTCTGACTTTTTTCTGTGGAACACTAAAGTAGATGTTTAGCAGAATGTTCAAGCTGCTCTTTTCCATATAAAAGTAGTGGATTTATACTACCAAGTTTGAAAAATGCACCATAAAAATGGTTCATACAACTCTTCTGACTTTTTCTTAGCGTTGAGTGAGAAACAGACTAAAAATGTAAGTTGAATAATAATTTTCTTTGTGGGTAGGACTTTGGAAACGGCTCTGTTTTATCTGACGATCTGGATGAGGAGCCAGAGCTTATCCTGGACGCTGAGCCCCGCTATGCCTCTCCCCTCACCACCATTGACCTTCTGCCCGTCCTGGAGCGAGAGATGGCTGTAGATGAGGATGATGAAGAGCAGGAGATGGACACCATGAAGGATCAAGGGAGCTCCAAGTTCAAGGGCGACAGTCTGCCTTCATACTTGAGTGAGAAGACTCGCTCCTGGGAAGAGCCAACACCATCCAACCCCTACCAGTACAACATTCAACCTGATACACAAGAACAGGTTTTAAAATTAAATATTATTATTCACATAAATTTAAATTAAATCCATTATAACAAATAATACCATACACTAACAAAATTACAAAAAATGAATGCATTAAATTAATGAGTATTTTAAGTTGTCACAGTGTTAAACATCTTAAAAGTTCTGAAAACAGGCTTAGTATTCTTTATTAAGAATATTCAAGATATAATTTATTTTTATTTTGGGGTGTATTGAACCTGTGTTGTTCAGTTCGCAGAGGTGGACAATGAGCTTTGCACAAGCTTTGAGAAGATTCAGCTGCAGCTCCCGCAAATTCCCCTTAGTGAGTGTTTGTCTTTAAAGCAAGGCTTATTTCCGTATTAATATACTGAACTTCATTGCAGTTTGACATTTATACATCTGTTCTCAGGTCAGTCGGCCACATGGATAGAGGCAGCAGACAGTGAGGCAGACTCTGACTCCAGAAACGAAGGCTCAGAGCTTACCTTGACTGACACCGACACTGAGTGAGTCTCCATCTGTAATAAACACACACACACACACACATCTCTATCCATCACTCAGCTAACTTCTGTTCATGAACAAATTGCCATATTGTCGTTGGTTTATTTTGGTTTAGGTGACAACCTTTTAAAAACACAACGTCATCATTAAAATTGGTGCCCTGTGTGGAATTTTAATAACCGTGATTATGTTTCCTAATAGAACGATAACTCCACCTGCTGGACAGATGTGGTGCTTAAATATTAACAAGGGCAGGTTACAAAACTCGAATTTTAAAGATGTAAAAATAAGATATTCAAATTAAGCAGTTTGTGGCGTTAATCATAATTTAGAGATTTATGCTTTTTGATATGTTACAAGTATTAGAAAATGATCATGCTTATCTTAATTATGAAAATGAGTTAATTATGATCATCTATAACCCAGGTGTGGTAGAGAAATTGAGGAAAAGTGAGAAATGGATATTAAACACCGTTTTAAACTACACAATGAAAGGTGTTAAATTGGTGTGAAATGCAGCTGAGACTCGGGCAGCTGTTTATGACATCAGTGTAATAGATCATTTGTGTGTGTGTGTGTGAGAGAGAGCGACTGCTTTTTGGTTTATGCGCATACTAGGGGTTGCACCGACTAATCGACTAGTCGACTAGTCGACTTCAATGCTCTGCCATGACACTTTAAGCAATATATATATATATATATATATATATATATATATATGTATATAATTAAATAACATAAATAAATCTAACATTAAATAATAAGAACAATAATGATAATAATTATTACTAGTAGTAGTAGTGTCAAGTTTTATTAAATGTATTTTAACACTATAAAATAGCAATATAATAATGTATTTTATATAATATAATAAATATATTATAATGTTTTATTATTATTTGTTTCATAGAGCACCTTCTATGCAATTTGTTAAGCTCAAAGCACATAAACAAATTTAAAAAATCTGTTCTAGTGGTATGTTCTAGCTGTGTTTATGTAATGATTTTAATAGGGACAGGAAGTAATGCGTTGATTTAATGTTTTTGTATCAGAGATTTTAAATCAAATAAGGTTATAAGCTGTTGGATGACTTTGAGTTCCTCCGCTCCTCTTTATCCATTATTAATCATACTTTAATCTTCCCTGATATTACAGTGGATTTTATTTGTTCATGCTGTTTAATCAAGTGAAATATTTAAGAAATAATTTCACTTGCTTTTGTGAACGAAGACCTGACAGATCTGTCAATTGTGATTAAGTCAGAATCGCGGTTTATTCTGCGTAAACCTGATGAGTCTGATTCAATCTAGCATATGTGACTAAGACTGACTCTGGGACTGTAATACATCTATGAGGGATTTGTGTGCTCGATTTCTCTCTGCAGATCTGCACAGCGCACTTCCTCTCGCAGCAGGAAGAGAAGAAACCAGGGGGCTGCCGGTTCAATCAGAGAAGGCCACAGGTAGCAACTTTGCGGCATTAATAATCATTGATGATTTAGAATTTGATGGTAAGTTTAGGAATGATGCTTTTTATTATAACTATACGGTAAATGTATTGTCTGCAGTGATCTGCCTGAAAGAGAGGAGGGAGAAGGTGAGGAGACACCTGCGTTCAGTCACTGGGGTCCCCCACGCAGGTAAAAAACACTGAAGAGTTTATGTGAATCAAGAGATTTCCATAGAAAGGAAGTAACAAAGTAGTAACAAAAATTAAAATGGAAGCAAAAAATGAAAAAAAAAAACAAAAAAAACAATTAACATTTTGAAAATGAAGAGTGTATGAAAAAAAAAAAAAAAAGAAAAAAAAAAAAAAAAAAAAAAAAAAAAAATT